TCAAGTACCTTGCTACCAACACATTTCAAGCTAATAGGTCTGTAATTAGAAGCGTCATAGGTGCTTCCTTTTTTATGAATGGGAACTATATGGGACAATTTCCAAATTTTGGGATTAAGGCCAGACTTCATAATATTTTTATAAATTAAAAATAGAGGAAGTCTCAGAGAGACTGCGCATTTTTTATAAATTATTTGTGGAATGTTATCGGGACCAGCTGAAATGGACGGCTTAAGTTTATTTAAGGCATCATAAACATCCAGTAGTGTTATTTCAATCTCGCAGAGAGAAGTGCAACAAATTCGATTTACGTTAAAACAGGAAGTATGAGTATTATCCTCAATAAACACATTAGAAAAATACTGATTAAATACATTTGCAATATCAATATCAAAGGTGATCACATTATCATTATGTTGCAGAATTAATTGTTTACGTGGATTTGTAAATTTTCTTTTGATATTGATTCTATTTGAATGAAGGTGCAATCATATGAGATTTTTTCCTCTCTGCGAGCTTGTATCTTAGATATGAGTGGTCAAAGGCAGATAATTTCTTAATATTCTCCACTTTCATCGGGTAATGTTTCGTAACCATATGGCGAGATCGAGCGCGAGAATCGCAGCTATATAGTGCGGACTTTCGTTTTTATGGTGATTTCACAACAGCTCTATAAAAAGAAGAAAGCATTTCTAGCTGCAGTAATACACGCTTAATATCTTCTTTTGCCTGGCTATTCTTATTTCATACCAATTCCAATTTATCCCAATCAAAATTCTCAAACCACTCGATTCACCTGATTCAACCAATCTACAATTATCATTATTTGTAGAACAATAGAACTGTTGAAATTTGTTAGTATTCTTTGTTAGTATTTGTTAGTATTTTTTAGTACTCTTCTAATTTTCGAAATGAATTCTATAGGAATATTTTTCGAAATTTATTATGTTTGTATGTATTGGGGGCATAGCTCAGGGGCAGAGCATTCGACTGCAGATCGAGAGGTCCCCGGTTCAAATCCGGGTGCCCCCTTCATTTTGCAAACTCGTTTGTGTTAAAATGATGGTTGGTCGCTACATTCTATTTATAATTTGGTATCAAACAATGCATATAGTTTCTACTTCTAAAAAAAACTTTTTGATTACATTTTATGAAAAGCAAAGGTGACTAATCTTGATTTTTTCATTTCCCGCAAAGAATTCTTGCGGAATTCCTGCGTTTCGTGGGCCATGGCAATTTTTAGAGCAACTGATCACCATAAGCATCACAGTTTCCTTATAATGCCGTTTTAGATAGGTAGGAAAAGTTTTAGGAAAATCTACGAAAAGGTCAACCAAAACGGAGTGTGCATACTCACCATAGCTGCATAGAACGACAAAATGCTTATTGATGCAGGGAACTAGGCGATAACAATCTAAACTAACCATCCACACCTTATCTAAATAACATGTGGATATCGCTTGTCTGCCGGAAGTCCATCTTCCTAATTTTGGATCCAGTGACTTGGTTCTAATAAGAATGACTGAGTGATGTTTCCGATAAGTCAGAAGGAAATGGAGTCACGATTGCCATGTCTGAAAAGGTACGATCAATTCTAATTAAATGGAACCCTATTAATAAGTGGTTAGCCTTTATCCGCTTTAAAAACAACTTTTGCAATATCTCGGTCACTAATGCTTATGAATGACCTGGGTAAAAACAGCTTCTAATTTGCTCACAACATCTCTCTCAAAATACGCCGAAAGCACAATCGCAGAAGACTGGAATACATGCGTAAAATCTGAGAATATTTCAGGATCCAATGGCTGACAAATATGGCGTTGGGGCCCGGTGGATTAACGGAATGCATTTTCTCCGCTATGTTAAGAGCATAGAATTTTTGCCACTAATACATGCATTTCAGCATTTTAGTAGATTTTTTAAAATTTAATAACTGCATAAAATTCACCAGATATTCAACACTTAAATAGTTGGAACAATTCTGTATTAGATAGCTGCGCATATCGAAGACAATTTCCATAGATCATTTTATGATTAGAGCCAACATCCGAATAAAATTGATAGCGCGCAAAATACAGCGCCGCTCAAAATCTTTTGACTATCTCAAATCAAAAGATTCAGAGGTAATTTCAAACCAGAGTAATGAAACGTTTAAAAGGCTTCAACAACCTTAGTGTCTCTAGAATGGCCGAAAAGTAGTGGTTTAAGTTAGGATCCTACCTCCAGGAACCACTAAATCTGCCATAGGATTTATGATTCAGAAGAAGGCAAGCTGGACCTCAGAAGTGGTTGAAGTGGTTCAACTGTTCGATCACGCCGGCAGGATAGAATGGCTCAGTAGGTTTTTGCTCGATTAGGAGTGGCGATGCTGAGGTTCGATTCCTCGCAGGAGTAAATTTCTACAAAAATCCGGGTGATGCTGGCGGCTCACCTGTATTTCTATCGCCAAGGGATTCCCTGGCATATTGCACAATTGCGACAAGCCAGTGGAGTGAGTTTAACCAGTAATGCTGAGGACTTAAAAGAAAAAATTATGCCGCCAGAGCATTCGTGTCGGAAGATGCTAGCTTTGGTAACTCAACATTGACAATTCTGTAGACTCGCAATGGTCATGGCATTCGAACATCGTGTACATGTACCACTCTATTATTACGTGTTTCGACTTTGTTGCTGCTCCTTGATTCGCAGAAGTTTATCAGCCTAATCAAAATATTTTATCGGCGAAGGTATTTTTTTGCGTATGTGTGGTGAACTGACATTTCGAAAGCTAGTCCGGTACGCGTCAAGTTGTGTTCTCTCGTCAAGAATTTTTTTTCAGAAAATAGGACTGCAAACATCGCTTGCCGACACTCAGGAGATCTTTAAATCAGTTCAGAGCATACCCTGAATACACTGATGAAGTTATCGTTTGTGTTGATAGTGATGAGAAATTATAAATAGCTAGACAGGGTACTGGGTACCGATTACTTACAATTGCAGCAGAGATTGGACTTCAAATTAATATAAATACAAACTTTTCTTGTAAACAAGACGCTGATAAGATTTATATAAATGATAAAAAGCCGAATAAATGTCAGGTTAACCTACACTCATACCTAATGGCCAGATAAAAAATCAAATTCCAACTCGGATGATTGATGACCAATACCTTCTTTGTCCCTCTGGAACCAGCCTCAAAATATAAGTTTGCAAGTTTGCAACTATAGTAAGTGCAGTCGTATTATACTAAACTATACTATAAAAAGGTAGACAGTGGTAATGGAAAAATTGGAGAATCAAAATCTGCCTTTTACCATTCTCTCCTACAAGATACAAGGTACGTCCTCCTGGTGAACAGAGTTTTTAAAGACTGCTCTCTTCGCCGTTCAAATTTGCATTAAGAATGCCGTCACAAAATGCCACCTAGTTTGGCCATGTTCTTCATCGCCCATACAAGAATTTCTACTTTTTAGATCCTGTGATAGATGGTGTCAAATCAAAAGTTGGACCAGTTCAGAGCAGATATCATAAGTTGTCGATATATGAGCTTAGGTGCTGGAAAAAGAAGTGTCTTCATTTACATTGAAGATTTATATTGGATCGGAAAGCTTGGAAAATCTTATCTTAGTTGCCAATAATTCCTTAGAATACTCCAAATCATTTTGCCTGCTGTCGATCTTTATAGTCCTTTAACGCTATTTCAAATCCGATCATAGATTTTGAGGTTCATTCAGATCCTATATACCAGAATTTCTCAACAACCACTCTCCTCACGACTGTTTCGCCAAGTAGACAGCGTTTTTTAGGATTGCATCCACCTTGGCCCGAATCTGCTTTAAGAATATTGCCACAAAGCGTCTCTACCATCGCAGTTTGGCTCTTTTTTTTCGTAGAATGAAGTTGAGATTAGAATTTTTGTAAATTTACCAATTCGTCAATATATATTTTTCTCTTATGTAAGTTGATTCGCCTTTCCATTTCGCCTATCCCTGGTGTTAATTCGATAAAAAATCGAGGATTTGATTCTTATTCCTTGATGAAGTAAATCTTTACATTAAAAATTGGTCCCTGAAGATAAAAGAACCTCAGGGCTGCACGCAGGGCTCGTTACACCTGTTGTCACATCTGGATTTTTGAATGTTCGCATTAATCATACCCATTATTTGCCTTTGCGTTGATACTGTAGAATTTCTGTAATTTTAGACCACGTTCTACCTTTCCAGCATCTTCTCAAACCACGCATCTTTTCTAACTCCCTGAGGACCATGAAAATTCCACACACCCCCTTGGTGCCACTATGAGTTTTCTTTTTTTTCATTTTTTTCCATTGTTTCGATTGTAAAATATTATTTTTCTTGAATTATGCAGTAGTATTTTTTATGGTTTTCACCTCTCATTTCCATTTCCTTTTCCATTTGTTCACGCAACCATTATAATAAGGTCAGTGAATTATCAGTTCTAACCTACTCAGTTAATTCATTCTTTTCTTTACTAAGCATTTAATATCTCGTTCTTTGCAAGTTTTATCAATTTTGACGATAATTACTCTTTTCTTGGTTCGTATGGACAACAAGAAGCAGTAGCTTCCTTTACCGTAATGTTCATGAAATAGTAGAGAAGCTAAATAGCATTTGACTGCAGATGGGACTTCAGATTTCCCCTTCCTTTTGCGATGGATTATCTATCGGAACCTATGATTGTAGATTTATAATGTGATATTTATAATGTGAAAATCGATCCAAAAATTTATATCTACTTGATTTAAGTATGAACAAAATGCTTTTTTTCTACAAAAATCTGATTTAATTTTTGAAAATTTTTTATGATGAATACAAAACAAAAAACAAGCTTTCTTCTTATCCATCTTTAAAATTAATATCGATAAAATATTTTTAAACATCTGTAGTATTTTGATCACATCGTTCTTCGTGATATTTTGATGATAATTGCACAAATCCGTTACGTGAAGGTAATATCGCTCGAAATTTTATCTTTCTCCTATCCTCTTTAACTTCTCTTATATTTTCACCTGATTTCGAACAACAAAATCCAAAAGTTAGCAAAAATTCATGCCTGAAACAAGTCGTTACAGTCGCCGTGTTATGTTGCACTTTGCCAGCAGTTGAAATTTATGGATCAATATTATGGCTTGATTTCGCCATAATAGCACAATAAAAATTTGGCAGAAATTGGCATAATCATATTCTTTTTCTCGTTTCATCAAGCGACGGTGTTCCAAATGGCGAAATCAAAAGTTAGTAAAATGGCTCAGTGGGTTGTAAGAATTCGGAGAACCGATTCTCGGCAAAAGGTAAAACGAATTGTAAAAATTAAATTTAATAATTGTTAAAGATGAAATATAATTCTTTACCTAAAAACATTACTCATTAGTGTGCATAGTATAAAGTTGAAACTGCTGTTGATGAGTGAAAGGAGATCTATAAAGTCGCCAATATACTGCATAGCATATCGGACTCCTGGTTTTACGCCTGAACTATTTTTTAATTAATAGAACATATGTATTTGTCATCTATAGTTTTACTTATAGATTGCTGAAAATAAATTTGATGGAGCTGATTAACTGGAATTCTGAAAGAGACCTTTTCATTTAACCATTTTTTGTTTGGCTGGCCATGTTAACTACCCGAATGCGATCTTTGTGCCAGATACTCACGTGGAAAGAAGAGGAAAGAAAGTAGATCTCCCAGATTTCATCTTTAAGGGCGACGATTATTTCCATCAACAAGCAAACTTCAAATTTGTGATGACACAGCAGAAAAAACGTTTCATGCATTGGGATATGCTATCTTACATTATTCTATGCACTTTTTATGATTATCCTTTTTATCAATATAACTACATAATGAAATTCCAAGATGCATTAGCCTTTTTGCGAATTAGTTCATAACGTTAATAGTTTAAAAATTCAGTCATTTAAGCGAAAAATATAAAATAGGTTTTTATAAACCTGTGGCGAAAACGATAAGTCCTTGTGGCAATTCGGTAATTAAGAAAACTGCTACTATAGCGGTTAACATTGAAGTGGTTCGCTCGTTCTGCGATTTTCTTCTTGAACCAATAGATAGGCGAGTTCGACGATCTCGTGCTTCAATAATTACTCGCACTAATAAAGTCATAAAAACCGTCAGCAGGAAGCATGGAATCAATTTCAACACGAGGCCTGAAATTATTTTTTAATAATTATTGCCTTAACCTCAGTAACTCATTAACTGATGGACAAGATGATCTGATATATAATAATTCGCTATACCATTTTAGCGAGCGGTATATGTCAGAGTTTTGTGAGTTTGGGATGGTTTTAAGGTAATTAATGTCACCATGCCCAAAAAGAACTGTGGCCCCAATTTGCGAAACATAAATCTACCATATTAAGTTGCAATTCTTCACAAAGCCCATTATTGTTAGGCATCTCAGTTCACATCTCCACAAACCACGTTATTTCCTTCAATATCCTCATTAAGCCGTTTTTTACATTAATACATCATCAAACCTTGCTGATCAAACCTTTAGCTCATTAATAATACTGCCTTAAACTACATTAATTCTTCAGATTTTCAGTCCAATTATATTCTCGGAATGCCGCGTCAAATTTTGTGCGTACACAAATTTTTTACTGCAGATGTGCTCACCAACTGTAAAATGGGTGACGTGGATCGAGAAAATTAGAAGTGCCAAAAAAGAATCATAGGGGTTTCCGAGGACGAAGGAGTGATAAGAGGATTCCAAAAATATTAAGAAAATATGATAAGTCTGAGGTGATACAAATGGAGTTCACCGTTATCAGTTATGATCGATATTGTTAGAATATTTTTTAAATTGAAGAAAGTGGAAAAAGTGGGAAATATTTACGAATTACTTTTATAACAATTATACAAAATTAATGGCAAATAAAACTAAAGATATTGATAACCTGCAAGCCAAAAATTCAACCTTTCCCATCTGCAATTCCACCAAGATGGTTGTGCTATGTTATATGCATGTACTTTAGAATCCTCTGAATAATAATGTGCATAATCTGAGCTATTATCTAAGCAAAAGGAAGGCGCATCGAGGAAGCCACCATCTCGTATCTGAAATTTATTTTTAAATCAGCAGAAAACAGTCTGTGATAATTATAATTCTATTATCATTCGATAATGGCAGCCATGCAGATACTAGCAACTGGCTGAACTAGCCTAAATTAGAAATGATAAGCATCAATAACTTAATTTGTCAGTGCTGTAGAAACTATTTGTTGAAGTTTGTACTAAATATATCTTTATGTGTGTGTCAAATTTTTATAACAATAATGTAATAAAACGCATAGAAAAAGTTGCATCTTGATTTCTTTCGGAATATTTCCGCTTCACCAGTCCTTTTCTCCCCTAACCGGTTTTAATGATATAAAATATTTCATGACAAAAGCATTAGCATCTTGCTCAATCATATAGAAATAATGTACATTGATGAGGTGACTTTCAATATAAATAAAGATTTTCTCACATTATTGAAATCGTTAATTGTTGTATAGAATAAACGTATAAGCATAAGGAAAACCAGTGCGAGGAAAGTGAGTCATAATTGTTGGGCAAATTTTCAGTCTAAGAATCGCACAACAATCGTAAATTTTTGGGTAAAATTTGGCGGAGTTCAACATTTTTTTTAAAGAACACTTCCTCAAATATTTATCAGTAGAATCACCATGGTCTTATATGCTATAAAGTTCATGGGATTTCAACATTTTGCGCCTAAAATATATTTAAAAAAATTTAATTTACTTCGTATCTGAGCATATTCGGCATTGCACCAAATAACGAAAGGGCAATAGCAGTAATAACTGCAATAAACGCAGCAGTAAAATTATTAACAGATGGTATTGTGGAATGTGAACTTGAACTTCGTTTAAGCACAAGATACCGGAGAATAGCCATATTTACAGTTAGCCAGAGTGAAATAGAATGTATAAAAACTGATAAAATTGCGTAAAAGTAAGTGAAAACAATCCAAAAATAAGAAAAGTACCATGGATGACAAATCTCGACCTGAAATATTTCATAGAGTTCCACCCAAACTAAGTATATATAACAAAAATTTTGCAAAATCCCCAGTTATCTCTTGAAAACGATTAAATATTTTACTGTCTATTATGATAACGATTTCTTTAAAAAGAAAAGCGCTTTCATTCTCTTTTAAATGATTGCTTTGTGGTGCCCAATTGGAGCAGAAAAAATTTGTTTTGGTCCATCGCAATTAATTTTTTAATCAGTATGATATTTTCATTTATCATATAATTATTATCATATGAGCAAAAGGATAAAGAACGATAATCTAATATTTTCTGGCATAAAAAAATGCCTTTTCATCTTAAAAGCGAATTTGTATCATTTTCCCTTAAAAAGAGTGTTCACAATTTTTGACTTAAAGAATTTATTCCTGCAATTTTTATTGCTAAAATCTTATTATAAAAATGAAAGAAAAACAAGAAAGTTTTCTTTTGTAAACGTTTATATTAATAAAAGAATTTTTAGAGAATTTAATTTAGAAAATTTAGAGAATTTGAGAAAAAAATAAGAAAAAAAAATATTAAAGCTCATCACTAGAAAATTATTTCTATTTCTATGAATGTTCAGAAAAATTACTAAAAAAAGTCACTTTTACTTTTATTTACTCCGAGGTAATCCGAGTGGTACTAGTGATCCAAATGATCGATTCGTAGAGCGTGGTACCCACATGCACTTCTGTCGCCAATCAATTTTCTGGGAAAATATTCTAACTACAATATTCTAGCCAGTGGAACTAACCAGAAATGGTTAACCACTTTTTTTACTTATTTAGAAATTTTTTTTTTTCTAAAACTTTTGAAATAGATTGTCTCATTGTCCCATTATGAAATCGTGAGATTTCAGTTATTTGCACACATTACTGAAATTCTACGGGAAAACTATTCAAATATTTGCGAATGGACTATTATAGTATAAATTATTATAAAAATAATAATCATGACATAGCAATGACCAGCAAAAGGAAGGTGATGTTCTAATAAAAAATACCTGCTTATAAATGAAGTAAGAAGCCATCAGAGTCATATCACATATAGCTATTGCAATTAAAAATGTGTTGAATGGATTTTTGCGCATTGTTGGCCTCAGTAGTACAACGATAATTGAAATATTCGCAAAAACACCAGCCAAACATAGAAATTGATAAACGAATATATGAAAAGGCATGTAAGCTTGATATGTCGCTGATAACATCTGAAAACATTTAGAAATCAACCCATTTTAAAAAATAGGATTTACTCAATTTTTTTACATCAGCAAAAATTGTCTGCTGGATTTTTTATCCTTTTTCTTTCTATTTGGTCGAAGTTTGCTGTTTTTACTCAAAGCACACGGTAATCGTTTCGACTTCGATCAACTACTTACTTAATTAGGTTAACCATTTAAAGAATAAATATTGAAATAAATAAATAAATATTAATAAATAAAATGTAATTTTGTAATAAAATGTAATGTAATTTATTAAAAATGTAATTTTAAGAACAGATAAATCCATAAGAATTTTGCAAAAAGTTGTAAAAAAAATGAAATTTTAAAAATAACCGAAAATATTTGAAAAACTTTAATAAATTGCTAAAAATTTATTGCAAAGTTTTATTTTATTAAAACTGCTCGGTAGCGTAAAAGGATTTTTTAAAAAGTATTTTAGTATAAAAAGTATTAAATAAAAGAATATTTTGAAAACTAAAGCCAATTTAAGAAAAACTGTTATCCAAATTTTCATGAATCATTTTGAAAAGAAGAGAATTTTTATAACTTATAACTTTTAAACTTTTATAATTTTTTATAACTTTCATTCATAATTTTATTGCCTGGAAATTCACAATTGTTGAACAGTTGTTATCATATCATAAATTTATTATTATTTTATTTTTATTATTATTGAATTGTGAGCCTACAAATCCGCATTGCCAATTTGGAGGATAGAATAAGAAGACCTAGGAGAAGTAAGTTTATCTGTACATATAAACATTCGCAATTCCGCGAAATTCCATTTCATGGAAGAAAGCATGTGATTTACGAAGTAAGTACCATCGTTTGTTTCATTCCTATTCCTCTACATTATTAATTAATAAATAATAATAGTATTTAATAATAATATTCATATCAACACTTAATATATTTTAGTAACGGATCGAAATACAAATTTTTGCTTTTAGCTATTCAAAAATTTATTGGAATTAATATTAGAATTAAAAATTAATGGATTTCTAGAAAAATATGGAAAATCGAAAATTTTTTTGAACAAACTTTCGCATAATAAATTCGTTGTTCTTCGATGGCAGATTCATTTAATCCCATACAACTCATTTTGGTGAATAATTTTCTAAGAGAGAATTTTATTTCGCAAAGATTTCGCTCCTAGCTTCTGCTTCAACTTCGGCTTCAGCCTGAAAAAGTCTTCTATCACTTCTTCAATAATTGCAGTCTAAATGAACGACGTTCAAAATTTAGAGTTAAAGAATCTGAAATTTAGGTATCGCTTTCAGGCTCTTTCACCAAAGTTCTCTATTTTTGTGGTTTAGAATATCGATAAATATAATAATTTTGGTGAAATAAATCTAAAAATGGAATCGTATGGAACTCGTTTATTTATGTTTGGCCGATTCGTCGAATACTTTATCGTTTTCGCATTTTGCTTTGGATTTTCGAAACTAATTGGCTTCAATCAACAAAAAATTTGGCTTATCAACCATATAATATGACTTAAGGCATATCAATTCATATAAATATATATCCCAATTATCTCTAATTTTCCTTTTTTTTATTATTTCAAAATATTTAAAATTTTGGTGATTTTTAAATTTCATTCACAAATTATTTTATTTTTATTTTAAAAAATTTATTTTATTTTTGTTAAAATAATATTTCGCCAAAGAATTTAATACTTAATCGATATATCATTAAATTTTCTAAACTATTCAATCCATTCAGAAATTTATTCGAAAATAATAAAATTCATTTAAAACGATTCGAAAATATAAAATATTTTAAGCATACAACTATCGTTTGAAACAAAAAAAATACTTGTAAAATCTAATCTAAGATCGAAGAATGAATGTTTCCAAACCGTTTGAAATCTGCAAATATCAACAAATGGTGAATGAACAGGTCGAAAAATAAGAAAATATACAAGCACACATGCACAAACAGTGCACAGCTCACAAATAATACATGCACAAAGCCACTTATTTAAATATTAATGAATTACCAGTATAATATATTTATTTACAAGTGAAATTATATAATAATGTCTAATTTTATCTTAAAAGTATTTCTATCGTATAAAATAACAGTTGGAAGAAAATGAATTTTCCTCCAAGAAACATCCGGAAACATCCGCTATCACCATTCATTCGTTATCATGAATGGTATTGTGATTATTTAAAAATATGCGAACACAAATCACATTAATAAATATAATATTGGTAAGCTAATCAGCGAAATTATGGCAAATTCAGTTTTCTAAGTTTATCAGAAACCAGAATGTACGTATTATTCGAGGAGACGAGAATAAATATTTAACACACATCAATTCTGGTTACCTTTTCTTCATTGTTGGTACGATTAGAGATTGTTAAGCCACTCGAAAATAGGAATATAGGTGAATCGCCCGTAACATTCGATTTTTTTAAAGGAAAGAGGGACCGAACTCTGATACTTTGAAGACGATAGGCGACAACCATTCTGTTGTTTCTTTTTGTCTCGAGATTTTTTATTTAATGAAAAAAGAAATTTTTTAAGGCATAAATAATTTTACATAATTTTAATGCTTTTTAAACGCTCAAATTTCTAATCTTTTTATTCGTTATGCTATAAATTGATTGATTTTAAAAATATATTTTAATTATGAACAAATTAAAGGGAAGCAAAGAAATTTCATATGTTTAAGCAACATTAAAATGTTCACAATCTCGGGTCCTTTACCAATGGCCTGAGAAATTAAGCTAAGGCAGCTAAGTTTTTGGAAGGTCTCGCCCAAGGATCTTCATCGGAAAGATAGAGCAGATTGGTTGCGATTCGAACCACTGTTGTTATTAATCGCTCGCTTATAAGGATCGTTTACAGTTTTGACGGAGGACATACCAATACATTTAGACACAAGCACTTTAAAAAGGACAAGACAAGAAAGACAAGAAAGCCAAGTGAAAGGTGGTTCAGATTATGGTATTGTCATTTCTCGATAGGAATAAAACCTAAATAAATTATCAAAAAATCCAGTTATTGCTTTACGACTCACCTGCTCTTTATCGCCAAGTGACTGCTTGATAAAAATTTCTAAGCATAGCCACTGGAGCCAGTCTAACCGAAAATGACTAGCGTTGATCACTATACAACAGTTATATTAATTGTAATTTTATATATATGTTAATTGTAATTTTTGAAATTTAACAATAAATTTTAATAACAATAATAATAATAAAAATAATAGCAATAGCAATCATAACTTTTGAATATTTTCAAAATTTTTATATGTTTTAAATTTTTTATATTTTTCCTTAGCGTTAAGAAAGAATTCGCTTAAGAATTTTTTCATGGATGGCTGAACTTTAAGTTATAAGATTGATTAATTAATGGAAAATAATTGTTTTTCTATAGATTTAAGCTTTAACAACTTAAAATAGATATCGTGACTTTATCGTAACTAATCGCTAACTCAATAACAATATTTTTTTAAATTTTCGATGCTGAAAATTTATTAATTCATATTATTTAAATAGGCATACATATAAGAATGGTGCGAGGACAATAGCGATTAGCTCTCGATTTCGTTACCTTCTTAGAGGATGCGAGCTTTCGCATCCAAAAATGAGTCAGTCAAATGAATTTTCCACAGATTTTATATAAATAAGTCGAGTTCATTGATCATTTCTGATTGTGCTAGCTCTGCTATAAACACATCAATACATATGGCCAAAAATGAAAATGGGTTACCAGAACCATTGGGATTTTTCAATTGCAGATTTGTTCCTCTAGCAGTGTGATCAAGGCGATAATCTAAACCATTGTCTGTTCTCACAGGTTTTAATTTTTAAAATGAAATTACGAGTTAAAGAAGTTAAAATTCAAAAAAAATTGCAGCTTAAATCAACAAAACTATGATTTAAACAAATCGAAGGAATTTTGCAAAAATTTGGTAGAGAATTTTCCTTAGTTATTTTTTTATTTAATTTGTATTTTTCTAATTTTTTGTTATATTTCAAAATTTAACAATAAATTTAAATTTTCGAACTTTATTAAATTTAAAATTATTCAAATTTCAACAAAAAATATAAAAGTAAAGTATTCACTTCATTTTTTTAAATCTGATAAGAAATGCTCGAAATTTTTCCTGAAAAAAAATGAAAATAGAGAATAATTTAAAACTTTTATTTGCTAGACTAATATTACTTCAAAAATCTTTATTAATGAACCTTTATTTTGAGAAAAAAAGTTCCATAAATAAAATTAATAAATAACTAAATAACAAATTAATTAATAATTGCATCTTTAAAACTTACATTTAATATCAAAAAAATGTAATATTTAATAGAAATTATGGAAATAAATTTTATTACATATAAATATTATAAATTCATATTTAATATTTTAAAAGGTTGAAATTCAATAAAAACTAAAGAAAAAAATGATATTAACGATGATCAATCAGAATGGGAATAGTTTAGCTAATTTTAGAAGCAATGCCAGCCCAGCCAGATTTCTATTTCATTTTCCAGTTATGCATAAGAAACACGCTTTTTCATTTTGTAAGTGCTTATCTTTGACATCGATCTCAACAAATTTCATAGGATTAGCGACATAAAAATGAATTATTCTAAAAAAAAGATAAAGAAATCGTAATTTAATATCAATTATACAAATCGTTAATGTTAAACTTAAATATTTTTTTTTGAAAATTAAAACCAAAAATGCAAAGTTTAAAAAAATATTATATAGTAATATTACAATATTTTTTAAAAAATTCTCAAATTGAAGGCTTTTGACGAATAAATTAAAATACTTTGGTATATTTTAAATTTAAATCTTTTAAATGTATTTTCAAAAATGATAGTTTTATTTGAATTTCCGCGTACAATTTAAAATGGCTAAAAAGATAATTTGCTTAAAAATAAAATGAAATAATTTTTCTTGAAATAAAGAAAAGAATGAAGAATTCAATGATCAGCAAAAAAATAAATTTTTAAAAAAACTTG